GCGACGAAAATACCGGTGTTGGAAGAGAGCTGCCCCGCAGGAGATGGGATGCGAGGCAGGGCTGCACTCCTCTTCTATACAGGCCCATCCCAGAGACTGAGCACGGGACATCTTACATTGAGGATGGGACATGTACGTGGGTGCAGTAGGTCTTGTAAACACCCCTTGCTCAGAGATGGGCAGCATGTGGAGAGATCTCACTCCTTCTCTATGGAGGCAGGGGAAGAGAAAGATGGTCCCCTTTACCCATTCTTCCCAAAGATGAGATACAGAGCACAAGCTGCCAAAATGGATGGCCCTCCCCAAAATGGATGGTAGGAGAACAAAACTGTCCCCAAATCCACTCCCTGGGAAGGGCTGATGGAGGGGGCACTGTCCCCACACCCTCTTGGCAGAGGGAACAAGGGACACCCTCCCCAGGCAGGCACAGTGGGAGACGCCCAAACCCTTTGGATGGGGAATGACAACCCCAAGTAGGGTAACACTGGGGGATGCCACCCCTACACACCCCCAAGCTGGGCTGCACTGGGAGATACCCTCTCAGGGAAGGTGCTGCCCAAACATCGTGAGCACGGCGAGGGGGGGATCCTCAGATGAGACGATGGTCTCTGGCAGACATGGGGGTGCAGCCCTAGAGGATGAGCACAGAGGATACCACCAGCTCCCCCACAGAGGACTTAGCAGGGGGCAGCTTCCCCCAGAGCTGATGGGGGAAGCGAGGATGGCGGCCTGTCCCCAGAGAAGCTGCATGGGGGGGCTATCACCACCAACCCCCCCCAGGTGAGGTAACTGGTGGTGCACATGCCCCTGGATGGGGTGCATGTGAGGGTGTCGTGTGTGTCCCCAAACAGAACACAAGGGGGATGCCATCCCCGCCCCCCTCCAAGGCAAGGCAAGGGGGGTGGCAGATGGATGTGGGTCCTCCTCCCCACACCGGGCACGAAAGGGGCCACCAGTCCCGAAGGGCACCAGCCCACCCCCGGGGGTCCCAGCCCCGCTGCTCTGGGGGGACGACAGGACCCTACCAGGGCGGAGGGGGGAGCCAGCCCCTGTCCCCAGAAGCATGCCGGGCGGGTGTCCCCAGCCAGGCCCACGCAGCCCGCCCCCCCCCCAGGGAGGCCCCACGCGGGAACACGGAGGACTCCCCCACGCACACACGCGGCGGTCGGCGGGCCGGGCCCGCGCTCACCCGAAGTCGTCGTCCATGGACTTGAAGTAGAACTTGTAGTTGGGGCGGTTGAGGAGGCCCTTGAAGTCGCCGAGGGTGACGCGCTCGGCCGGGATCGGCAGCTTCACCAGGTACGGCGTCTCCTGCTCGTCCAGGTGGTAGATGATCTTCGTCTCGGCCGCCGCCATGGCGCCCCTGCCCGGCCGCCAGGCCTCCGCCGCCGCCTCCTCCTC